TCATCTTATCTTATGTTTATCGGTTGTAAGCAGGTAGGGTTAGGTTCCGCCCAGAACACTGAAGCCTCTTTGGTCTATTGTATTCCCCTGCTTTACCCGTATTCAGGTACTATCTTTGGAATAGTCCTGTGTCTTTGGTTAGTTTTAATAGGTTCCCTACCAAGTGTTCCTGGGGCGTTCTTTCCGGTTCTGAGCCGAAAAGGATGACGTCGTGTAGTAAGAGCTTCGCATTCGAAGATCACATGGTATGAGGTTTCTTTATCTTCCATGTAGTGGGATCATTGTGTACATACAGGTTCGGGTCCTGTGAATGGTAGATCTGATCCCTCTTTGGCAAGTTCATCAGCCTTTTCATTTCCTTGGATACCGTGCCTTGGTACCCACGCTCGTTTTACCTTGTTGTGGGTTGCTAGATTATTTAGTATTCCAAGGCAGTTCCAGACAAGCTTTGACTTAATTCTGTTTGAATCAAGAGCCTTTAAGGCTGCTTGGCTATCTGAGAGAATTAGAATGGTTTGTTTTTGTACTTCCATCTTAAATTCTCTCGTACACACAATTCAATTGCATGTATTTCAGCCTGAAATGTAGTGGCATGTTTTCCCAGTGAGACGATGATGTCGCATTTGGGTTTAACTCCATGTAAGCCAGAGCCTGTTCCCTTGTTAGTTTTAGATCAATCCGTATACCATACGTGACCGCTAAGCAAGTATTTATCTATCTCATTATTTACTTCGTTCCAGTTACAGTTGACCTGGAAGAGTAGGAGGGGTGTCATGTGATCTGATCCCATATTTACTATATAATCATTTACTTCATGTGTTATTCTGGTATGTTTTATATGTCCTAGTGGGTTTCAGTTGTTAGAGATTCCCAGTCTGTATGCACTTATTCTAACTTCTCTCTTTATGACTAGATTAAGGGGTGGGAGGTTTACAATGATTTCAATAGAAGCTGTCGGTGTACTTCTTAGTGCTCCTGTAATACAAAGGCATCCCAACCTCTGTACTCCTGAGAGGGTAATGAGGGCTGTTTTCTGGTTTACTTTTGGCCGCCAAACAACCGCTCCATAAGTTATCAAGGGTCTTGTTATTGCCAAATATAGCCAATAGACCATTTTTGGTTTTAATGTTTTTCCAAATGCCCGTCTCCCTACAATAAGAGACATTTTACATTTGTTGGTCACTTTTTGTAAGTGTTGGTTCCAAGTAAGTTTGTTATCTAGGATTAGACCCAGATATTTTACTTGGTTCGTTTTGTTTAGCCTTCCTCCAAACAGAGTCGGAGTCTCTAAAACTTCAACCTTGTTTTCCGAATAAAGGTTATGAGTTGTGCCTTGTCAGGGTTTACCAAGAGGTTTTCCCTAACGCACCACATTTCTGTCAGCCTAAGAGCTCTTTGCATGAGTTCAAAGACTGTGGTTTGGTGTTTCCCTCTGATAAGGATGACTATGTCATCGGCATATCTTTCGGCGTAGAGCCCTTGATTGTTTAGTGTTTTCAGCAGTTCATCTGCCACTAGGTTCCATAGTAGAGGAGAAAGGACTCCACTCTATGGGCATGCCCTGTGGATATTCACCTGCATGGTTTCACATTTGTGCCTCAGGTCATACATTTTTGTATTTTTGAATTTTCGTTAAAGAAATTTAATAAATAATATAAAATAAATATAGGGAGAAATGCTTAAAATTATTTTATATATCATCCTTTGTATATTGTATATTTTCTGTGGCGGCTCGGAATCAAAATATTGGGGATTACAATGACAGAATATAGATATAAAGATTTAAGTAAAAAACTGTATTTTAGAAAGGTATATGTAGTGTAGAGGTAAGGAGAACTATCTTTGTGTACAAAAAATCTCTCTCAAAATGTATAAAAATAAGATGGCGTTTATGTATCAAAAGGACGCCGACAGTTAGTACTTCAGATCACACAATCACATCAATGATATCTATAGTTATACAGTGTGGAACAGCCAAATGGAATAAATTCGGTAATAAATAAATAAAGGCGTGTTCGAAAACACGCTCCGCTCGGACACGTCGATTGGTATTTTTAGTTTCTCATTTTTTTATACAGGGTGTGTCACGTAACAGGGGCCAATACCAACTTTCTTATAATTAATGCAATGCTTTGTATATTTTTCAATTTTAGCATTCTTTAGAACATTCTAAAAACATATTTTATGTACTATGTCCTATACCTAATTGTTTTGAAAATGTTAAATTATATTAAAAATTACTATTAACAAAATAAAATTGTTTGATTACAAAAATTCACTTAATACTTATCTCCTATTTAGGACTTGATAATAGGGTTGCCACCTTTTCATTCCCTAAAACCTGGACATGTGTTAAGTAAGCCTGTTCTGTTAAAAGGGTTCGAAATTGCCGAACTCCCCTGACAGAGAATTCGCTGAAAGACCTCAAGGGTGTGGGATAAATAACAAAAGATTTGATTGACAGAGTGTGAAGTTGGCTTTATTTTTCTTAAAATGTTAACCTCCAATTCAAATTGACTTATCAAAGTTGGAAGATATGAAAAATATAAAATGTTTTATAATATAATATCTAAAATATTACTGTATACAGGAAACAAGATGTTAGAGGTAGTACTTTTAAAATATTTCCTATATTAAACACCCTCTAAAAGAATAGTTACTTCGGTTCACGTCAAGTACTTGTCGCTTACAAAATCCGGCAAGCCCCAGGTATGCAAATGTATCTATATAAATATATAATGAAATAGATCCCGTAAAACCCTTAAAAACTACTTATAACTAATGACTATACTTTTATGTAAAGTATTTACACCCGATACATTCGTAGGGAATGCCTCCAGACCGGTTGAGGTTAAGTCGGAGCGCTAAATGGGGCTAAAATCACAAAAACTATTAAACAGAGACCGTCTTACTTGAGGATTCGGGGTCTAGATATCCTGCGACAGGTTATGAAGGTAGGTTGGCAGCAAACGGTAGCCTAACAAGAACTACTCTTGTCTCTGGGCGACTTCTTTGCTAGCGGCGAAGGGGCAACAGCTGATGGCCTACTTATTTAATGCCGCAAAAGCCGGGAAACTTGCAGCACGCAGAATGTGTCACTTATTGAAGGTCTTCGAGAATAAAACGAAGCAAAGAAGAAACGAATTAACAAAGGAAGAAAAGAAGTCTGAAAAATATTGACGAGTGTAACCACATCTCCAACTAGCCATTCATAAAAGTGTATTTGTTGTGAAGTTATCATCATCATGTATTGTATATTCCAGGAGATAGTGAGGATTTTCGGTATTTATTTTCCCAGTCGGCAAGCACGAATAGAGAATTGTAGGATTAGCAATTCTATGCAAAATTCATATATATTTAGAGGGGGGATCCGATGGGCTGAGGCCGAAAATGCGTCAAAACATACGAGAACACGGCCCTTTTTTTCCATTGATAAAAATAGTTTTAGTAGTAAGAGATGTACTGAAGTTAAGTAAAAAAGTAGTCTGATTAATCTGTATGGATAATATATTTAGCAAGTGCATAAAATACACTTTCAAACGAGTTATGTACACAATTATTTCTACGACCACAATTATTTAAAGAATGTTCCAGGTGTTTTGTATATTAAAGTGTACGCATAGGACACATAAATAAAATCATATATCACAATGTTTCACCTAACCAGTTGGTTTATTTATAGAAATTAAACATAATAATTGAAGATATTACAGAAGAAAATAGGGAAATAAATTACATTTCCTTTTACACTTTTATATAATAATTGTTTTATTTAGAATTCACGAAACACTTATTACTCTACATTAATTATATTTATTGTTAGTTCCGTATGTCAAATCATTTATATTAGAGGTGTGAGGAAAATACAGTGAACTGTGGAACGCCAATATCGTTGGATGCGCGTGGTAGAAATGGTCCTATAATACTGCTAAAAACATAGCTAAAATTTTCATGGAAACACTGTACTTTTGACATTTGCGATACTCCGACGCATATGCATTATTTATGTAATCTCATGATTTTACAGCGAAAAAAGACCAAGAAACCGGATATGCTACAAAAGAAATAAAAAATTCAAAAATGTTTTTTATTACAAGAAAAACCAGTGGCGTACCGTTTTTTTTTTTAAGAAATATTCAGTTCAAAGCCCGCATGAACGCCAATGGCGAATGTAAAAGTTTAAATTATGTATCGGAAAATGGCTTTGGATGCATAGAAACTGCGTAATAATTTTCAGAAAAATATCTACAGGGGTATTAAATGTATCGCAAAAAATAAGTTTTTTTCTTATAACTTTACCACCCTGTAGTTAAAAATCTAAGAGGCGTAGGACATATTCATAGAAAATTCTTTGCTTCATTTCGTCCAATAGCCTCTGAATTTTTTCGCAATATTAAAAAAACACCCTGTATACCTTTCTAAAATACTCACACCTTTTTAGGATTTTTATTAATATGTACAGTAATTGAGTTACTGCATTTATTCCATTTGGCTATTGGACACTGTATTTATGTAAAATAGCAGAAAATTGCAAATCGTATTTATTTTTTTCGTGAAAATTTGAGTTCATATAGAATACCAAATTTGATTTAATACAAATTTATTTTGAACATTTCCTTTATTCAAGATTTAATAAATCCATTATATTATACACATTATTATTATAAAATAATTGGAGATCCCTTAGACTTTTGGGATATCTTATTTAAATAGAGAGGTTAAGGTCCTTATGGCTTCTTAGTCTAGAGGACCAAATATCATCATCCAATAGTAGATTAAAAAGCAGTTAGTCAAAAACAATATTAAATAAACCATGTTTAAATAAACAAAAAAATAATTATTAATTCAAAATCACAACAAAACCAAAATATTTTTCAAATGGATATATTTACATTTTTTTTATATCACACCATAATTTATGCAAGCTTGAAAAACTCAAAAACAAACCAAAATCAAACTTACGTATTACTCTTTCTTTCATAAAAAAAAACTAAATAGTTTTACTTAACATTTTTTATTTTTATCACAGTTGAAAAATATTGACAAAAATATAATAAAAACATATTTACACAAAATAAGGTAATTTTTAATATAATTAATTTATTCATCAAACTAAAAAAGAAGAAAAACTGATTTTAAAACTCAAATAAAATATTTTATTAAATTATTTATCGTCATTATTTATTTTTATTTTTTAAACGCGATTTGGGATCAGGTGAAGTTTTTCCTTTGGAGGGAGTTGGACTTGAAGGAGCGGGGGGGAATTCAAAGCCATTCCCTTTTTCGGACGGGAGACCTAATAATAAAGGTTGTCCGAATGGGCGATTTCCAGACCCATCTTGTGAGTTTCTTTCTGAAAATTTAAGTAAAAATGCAGTTTATCTGTATATAGAAGAATATTAATATTCTAGTACGAACTGAAAAGCATTTTTCTTGATGACAAGGTCTGCTTGTAAACGTTTAATATTATCATAGATTAGCGAAATTCTAGACACTTAACTAAATTATCGAATAATGTAGGTAATATTAATAATAAAAAAAAAAATATAAAACATTATTAAATATAAAATATTGCTATTATTTTGGTATTTGCTACAAACCGAAAGCTATAAGAAATACTTTTTTTATTAAATTTTAATAAAATATATGACAGCTTTGGCATATTATTTTCATTATTTTTTAATATTTGGATCCACATTGTGGCTTATTACTCTTGACTGTTACAAACTTTTTTATATTGCTCTTCTTTTATTGTCTATTTTTATGTATGAGAGAGTAATAAAACAGCATTTCTAATGCAAAACTTAGTACGGTCATTTTAAATATTTTTACAGAATAATCTAAATATTTCCTAAAATTGTAATAAATGTACCTGAGCTATTACAAGTTTTAGGTCTTTTATTGGTCCTTTATAAACATAAGCTGTACAGAACAATAGAAAAAGGTTTGGACAGGCCAAAAGCCCTGTGTATTAAAGATTACAAAGCCGTATCTTAAGATTATTTTCAATAAGTACCTATTTGCCAATTTTGTTTTATTTTAATTCCAAGAATGTTTTACAGTAATCGAATTATAAGTAGATAAATACCTTCCCAACAAATTTCACCGAAAATGTGATTATAAGTTTTCCATTTAGTAAGGAGGTCTAAGTTGTGTATTCTTGACAGTTTACTAAATGTCGTTTAGTTGCAACTTGCAAGGTGCAGTGTGAATTCTAGTGTGATCATGGAAAATTTGGAAGGGCCGCGTAAACGACAAAAAATCGGTCCTTTAACAGTTAATGAAAAACATTAATATTTAATTGTTTTAAATCATTTACAGACAAACATTTATGTAAAAGTGTTGATGACACAGTGAAATTAGTTAGTAATACGCTTGGTGTTGGGAAATCTACGATTTACAGAGTTGTTAAAGAAGAGAAATGTTTCAAACAGTACGCAAAGCTCCAGGAAAACCAAAATTTCAATTAGAAAATCTTTTGAAAGAAAGACTTCGAAGGAAAGTGCATGCGTTCCGACAGTAGACAAAGTTCTTGCCACGGTTCGAGATAATAAGGATTACCCTGAAATGAGTCGAAGCACACTATGGAAACTTTTAAAAGAAATAGGTTTTCTATGGAAAAAGCATTCCAGAAAGTCTATTTTAATAGAAAGAAGCGATATTGTAGTATGGAGAAAAAATTACCTAAAGACTATAAAAGAAATGAAAAACCAAAGAAGAAATATATTTTATTTAGATGAAACATGGATCAACGAGGGACATAAACCAAATAAATTTTGGCAAGATGAAACTGTTACAAGTCGATGACAGGATTTTTTAAATAATTTATCTACAGGTTTAAATCCACCATCAGGGAAGGGGCGCAGACTAATAATAGTACACATCGGTAGTTCAAACGGTTTTGTTAAAGGTGGTTTATTGACTTTTGAATCTACTCGTACCGGTGACTACCATGAGGACATGAATGCTGATGTCTTTAAAGAGTAGTTCGAACAAATTATAGATCTTCTTCCTCAGAACTGTATAATAGTAATGCATAATGCAAGTTATCACTCAAGACTTATAGAAAAAATGCCCACAACCAAGTAATTCAAAAAAGATTTACAGAATTGGCTAAATTCAAAGAATATTAAGTTCCATCCCGGTTCTGTGAGAAAAGAACTGTATCATTTGTGTTCCCTTCATAAAGAGAAATTCAAAAAATATGAAATTGATGAAATTGCAAAAAATCGTGGGATGACGGTGGTTAGATCACCACCATATCATTGCGAAGTAAACCCGATTGAACTGATATGGGCACAGATAAAGGGAGAAGTTTCAAGAAAAAATAATTCTTTTAAAATGAGTGATGTTTAACAGTTGTTTTTGGAGGCTGTAAATAATGTGAAGCCTGAAAACTGGGAAAAGGCAGTAAATCATACGAATAAAGAAGAAGAGAAAATGTGGAAGTTGGACAATATTACTGATGAAATGATCGAGCCACTCATTGTAAATATTGCGACAGTTCATCTTCTAATTTGGATTTGTAGGTAAGAAGTAGTTTTTATATTTAAAATTATTATTTATGAACGTAACGTTGTTTAAAAGTCAAAGTTTAAACCCTTATATCTACATAACCCGTTTGACACAATGTTCTTAACATACCTTGTGGAAAAATAAAACATTTTAGAAAAAATTGCACTTTTTTACCTTCAGCTGTTTAGAATTTATAAGCAGGTTAATTAGGTGAAAATATAAGTTTATACTCGAGGAATAACTTCAAAAAATATTTTAACTGTATACTAAAAGAAGTGATACGCCTATGGATTACGAACGCTTTATTATTTTAATACTCTCTCATTCACAAAAATAGACTATAAAAGCTGCCATATATTATTCGAGGATCCCATGCCGACCTCCAATTATTACAATTTTATGTTCATAATTTTAATTTCCAGGTAAAATACCTCGCTTTACTTTGATTTATATTTTTCTCCAAAGGATAACATAATAAAATTATAATTACATATTTTATTTTATAATGAATGTTTTCCGTCGTCTCTGTTTCATAAAGAGAAAAAAATATTACAAACAAAAGCTTTGATTAAATAAGGTTTTCTCCAACCTTGAGGCAGGAAGCAAGAAAAAGTTCTTAGATAAATCCTGTTCGTCTCGTTCTTTTGTTTTACTCATCGCTCCATCTCCTGTTCTCATTAACCTAAATTTTTAGAGTGACTACAACTACAAAAAAATCAAACAATGCATTCAAAAAGTTCTTTACTTTATACAATATTTACACAACTTATTATCTATACTGAGAAAGTTTTGTTTAAAACCACACAATTTAAGAATATATGTATTTATATTTTATTAAAAAATTCTATGAATGTTTATTTTTACTGTAGTAGAAATTTTACGTAGTAGAAATAATGGTAAATATTTCTCACATATATTTATTTTTTTCTTAATAATTTCTTTTTTTTTATTGTATATAGGGTGGCTACTTTTTATATTGAACAGTATTACTATCTCGAAAACCGTAAGAGTTACAAAGTTGGTTAAATGGGAAAAAAGTTGTACTTTTGCAATACTAATTTAGTAATGTTTTAAAATCGAGAATATCAGGACCGGTTTCCAAGATATTTAGGGAAAACCAAATGACTCTATTTTTGATTGTATTTCCTTTGTTTTACAAATTAGAAAAAAAATTTAATGGGATTTTTAATTTGGTATTGAGTAGGGCTTAATTTACCATAGACAGATTTTTTATACAACGGTTCGTTTCTGGAGGGCCTCCATCAAGTATATTTTTTTGAATACGGACCTGCATTTTTTTATTATATTTTATAAAATTACATTTGGGTTATTGGGGTGGTCATACTAAAAATCTAGTGAAAATTCAAATAAAAAGGTATCAATAGTTACTTTTTTTCTGCTTTGAACAATCTCCTGTATAGAGGGTGTTATTGAAATACACGTACATATTAAAATGGGGAATAGTATGTAATGACCAAAAACGATTGGCACCAATTTTAACTTCAAATTCTAAAATTTAAATATTGGGCAAGAGTCCCCTTTTCCGACCTACTAGTTTCCATATTTAAAGAAGTAACATAAATCGAAATTGAACTTACCCATAGAAATTGCACCGTTGCCGTAGCAAAACCAATTAATTCAAAATAAAGTTTATTACAGTAATTGTTTAAAATGCCGTCCTTTATTATTTACACACACTTGCAATCGTCTTTCCAAAGAACTTTGAACATTAGAAATTAGTCTTGGATTTTGTCGTAGTTCCTCGGCTACCGCATTAACTTTATTGGTTAATTGTTCAACACTATTACTAGGTTCATTATAAACCAGTTGTTTCATGTGACCCCACAAAAAGAAATCGCATGGATTTAAGTCCGGAGATATCGGAGGCCACTTAGTAGGTCCATTTCTGCCTATCCACTTTTGAGGAAATCTAATGTTCAAAAACTGCCGTACGTTTAAATCAAAGTGAGGAGGAGCGCCATCTAGTAGGTACCACATCCGTTGCCTTAATTGTAACGGTATCTCTTCTAGGAGTACTGGCAAAATATCTTCTAAAAAGTGGAGATATCCTGGCCCATTTAATCTGTTCGGGAGAACATAATTTTCTTGGATGCCGTTTCCCTAATGGCGTGAGGATTTTCATCACTCCAAATATGCGTATTGTGCATATTGAACACGCCATCACGAGTGAATGAAGCCTCGTCAGTATACAATAATATTTTTAGAAAATCAGGAATATCAACACATTTTTGAATCATCCATTCACAAAACTCCACTCTCTTTTCTTCATCACCTGTATATAAGGCATGGACTTTTTGGATGTGATAAGGATGTAAACCTTGTTCTTTAAGTGTCCGCCACACAACAAATGAGGACACTCCAATTTCAAGACCTAGTCTTCTACAACTTAATTGAGGCCGGTTTTCAACAGCTTCCAATATTTCTTCTTCGGCCGCCAATGTTCTTTGTGTTCTTGTTCTCCCTCGATCTGCATTGGCACTCTCAAATTTTTCATGGTCTCTTAGATGCTGAACAGTTGAAATAAACGTACGACAGTCCGGAATTCTCCGATTTGGAAACCGTTCGCGATACAGGATTTGTGCTTGCCGAGAATTTTCTCCAGCTGCCCCATAAACCAGCACTATATCCTTTAGTTCAATATTTGTAAATAGTGGCATCGTAAAAAAATATTTAAAAGTAATCGTAACAACACTTTTTACCAACTTGGAAATGACGCGCTCGTGTTAGCCAGATTCGTAAATCAACTAAAATTTTAATAATCTATAGTTTCAAAAATGTATAGTTTAAAAACAATCATTTATCAAATATTCTAGTTAT